AACAATTTACATTCCACAGCTGAATCATTGCATTTAGAGCAAACAGATGTATTCTTTAGAAGTAGTTGCATTAATTGGGAAAGTCATGTTTTTTCCTTCATACTTAATGGTCATATGAGAAGTCGCAACTAGACTTATTAAAGGAATACAAAACCAAACCAGCCCATTCCCAGAAACATACTGCGCTCCTCCAGAGGATGGACGCCTGGTGCCATCCACCTCAGTGGGGCCTTGCCTTTGCCTGAGTCAGGGGAGGGGCGCAGCAAGTAGCATAGAAAATCCTTATTTAGAACAGATATGTACAGGATATGAAAATAATGACATAATGGAGAAAATATTCTATATAATGGAATATAGTGTATCCTAGTGAATAAAAATTAAAGTCTCAGAAGATGGCTTGGACTCAGCTTTCGTTTTGAGAACATCCGCTCTGTGCTGGGCTCATTTTTAAAGCAACAGTTTAGGAAGCTCTTGCCATGTAACAAGCAGTTTTCCAAACACCAGTGTGCCTCTTCTGATCCAGCCAATCCTATGAGCAAGCACTATAATTAACCTATTTTGCAAATTAGGAAACTGAATCTTAGAAGGGTGACTTTTACACTAACTTAAGCCTCATGCATCCCTTTGAGGCAAGAGTGATGACACCCATTTTATGGACAGAAAAACTGAGGCCCAGAGGGGAGAAATCATATATCTCAGGTCACACAGCTCCAGAGCTAGTGGAGCTCTGAGAAGTGGGCCAGGAGGTGCGTGGGCATGAGAGAGGTCATTTACCCATGAAATGTGGCTGTGGTTACTTGAAAGTTAAATAATTAATAAAAGAGAGGGTACAGTGGGAGGATCCCTTGAGTCCAGAAGTTCAGACCAGCCTGGGCAACACAGCAAGACCTTGTCTCAAAAAAAAAAAAAAAAAAAAAAAAGAGTTAAAAAATAAAAAAGTAAGGACAGTATGGAGTACTTGCTCCCTGCTGGGCCCGATGCAAAGCCCTCAGGCCTGAAGGTCCACTAGGATGCTCTGCACTCTTGGATGGGGAAACAGGCTCAGGAAGATGCTGCCCACTCAAAGCCACTCCCTTAGCTAGTGGGGGGCCTGCACCCAAGCCCACTCTTATCTGCTGCTCAGGACTGGAATCAAGGAGTCCTCCTTTGCCCTCCTCTGCTCCAACCCAGGGAGTATGAGAACGGTCCCTGGGCAGCAGTAGGCACCTCCCTTCACTTCCCAGCCACCCCGAGCTCAGTCTGGGCACCTACAGCTGATAATCTAGACACCCCAACCCCTGAAACCCTTTGAGCCTGGGACCCAGCTGGCTGCTGCACCTGGGCCCAAGCTCGGCCTCTGGGGAAGCAAGGTCTCCAGCCTGGATTTCTGGGGACCAAAGTCAAGTATCTGACAAAGTCAACAGATCTCAAAAGCCAGCTCTGAGCTGTGGGGACCATCAGGAGGGACTTCAGTAGACTCAGGGTAAGAGGGGGTGAATGTGTGGTGTCTGAACTGTCCCCAGAACTACCTTCTCTTTCCCCCAACACAAGCTCATCTATTCATTGTGGGCAGCAAAGCATCGAGGCTGGGTGGGGTGGGGGTGGGGGGTCCTGCCTGGGTTCACACCTTAGCTCAGCCACTCACCAGTTGTGCTTCCTCGGGCAAGTCACCTATCTCTCTGAACATCACTCTCCTCCATTCAAAAATAGGGTCATGCTGGGCACCATGGCACATGGCTGTAATCCCAGTGGTTCGGGAGGCTGAGACAGGAGATTCCTAAGTTCAAAGCCAGCCTCAGCAACAGCGAGGCGCTAAGCAATTCAGTAAGACCCTGTCTCTAAATAAAATACACAATAGGGCTGGGGATGTAGCTCAGTCATCGAGGGCCCCTGAGCTCAATCCCTGGTACAAAAAAAAATAATAATAATAGGATCACAGTAACCCACTTCTAGGGTTTCACAGTAACCCACTTCTAGGGTTGGCAGGAGGAGCAAAGGAGGGGGTGCCTGTGAAGCACCCCCAGCGCCTGGCATACAGCGACTGCTTCCTAAATGCTGAGAATTATTTCATTCCTCACTCCCCTCACTTCTGCCAACAAGCAAAAAAATAAAGAAAGGGACGAAGGAAGGAAGGTTGGTGGCAGCCCAGATCTCTGAAGTCATTGTTAGGCAGCAGTATTCTTGCCCGTATTCACCGCAAAGCCAGGGTTCAACCCCAGGGCGTCTGGCGCAGGCCCAAAACTCTCAGCCGTGCCTGGAGGGACAGGGGCACAGGGCAGCCAACGTGGATTTCATGGCCTTAAGATCTGCTGATGAGTCTTGGCATGAGTTCACCAAGCCCACAGCAGGGGACCCAGCATGTCCCATGCCGAGGTGTGCGGCGGGGTAAGTCTAGGCGTGAGCGTGTGTTGTGGGGCTAAGGCCCAGGCACTGGTGCTGGCAGAGGATATTAAAGGTAGGGGTAGGGCTTTGTGCTGAGGGCAGTGTGGGGACGGGAGTCAGGGCTTAGACAGAAGGTTCTCTCTGGAGGGCGTGGGGTCGCAGGGGAAGTTTCAAGAACTTTGAACTCATGGCTTGTGTCTGAGGCTTGCCTGAGAATCCCAAAGAGGAAGGACTCTCTGTAGCCCCCTGAGGCCACAGGGCAGAGGGCTGTGGTGGGAGGGGCCGCCTGGGCATGGAGTGGCCGCCTGGGCATGGAGTGGCTGCCTGGCCATGCAGGCACCGTGGGTGTGGGCCTCCCCCAGCCCAGGACTGGGCTAACAGGACTGGGCCAACCTGGAGTGGCCTGAGATGTAGCCCAGGAAGGTCCCCTCAGGCGCCCTGGGGCCTCTGCCTGGAGGGATCCCAGGATGTCCGGGGATCACGGAGTCATCACAAATAAGTGGCTAGTGGTGACTCTCTGCAGTGTGACAGACATGACAGTGCCCAGGTCACACCTCCTGAATCCACCCTGGATTTTAGCCTCAGCAGTGGTGGC